CCAGTCAAAAATTTGTATATGAGAAATTCTTTTGTTGGCAACAAAAGAACGAGCGCGTCACGTACGCCGGCAGTGCGAAAGGGACAGCAATGGGGAAAAGAAAAGGAGCGAGCGAGTGCGAAATGTAAACATTACAAAAATGCCAAGCCAACGTCTTCATCATGTGGCCAAAAAAAGAAACGGAACCGTTAGCCAAAGTTTATAGCCGCGTATATTATGTATATTTCGAGATGAATGAATTTTGGACCTTACGAAATTCTAACGGCATTCTACGGCCTTCTGCAAATATGCAAAGAGAAAATAGCCACAATGAGCTGGCCAAAAAGAAAGCGACAAATTACGTAGCCAGCATGCTAATGCTTATGCTAATGCTAATGCTCTTTTTTCCCTAACGGCATTTCGCACAGCCGGCTAAAAGCCCCCCTTTAACCCCATCCTCCTCCTCCGCCCCCTTTTTTGTATTTGTTGTATTTTTTTAAAATTTTTTGTATTTGTGAAAGCTGAAAACCAGTTTTCTATTAGCATTTGCTTGGCGGCAAAAGAATGAAACACGACAGAGCAGAGAAAAATAAGAAGAGAGAAGAGAGCTCGGCTGACTCTGTGGGCTCTCTTGGCTCTCTTTTGGCCACAAGGCAGTCGGCTGGTGCATTGACCCCACAGCTCGCTGACCCACTTACGAAGCTGCTTTTTGCCACTGCGAATGCGAGTTGCGAATTGCGAATTGCCGACGCTGCGAGCTCGTGCCTCAGCCGACGTCGAAGTCGCTGCTGTTGCCGTCGTTGTTGTTTCGACGAACGAGCAACTTGTGCAATAGCCGCAGCAGCCGCAGCAGGCGCAGCAGCAGCAGCAGCAACAACATTAACAGCAACAACTGCAGCAGCAGCAGCAGTAACAACAACAGCAGCAGAAACCGCAGCAACGTCGACTGCGCTGCCACATGGGCAACTCAAAACTGACTGTGCTTTACTCTTTGCCTCAGCACAGTGGTTAAATGAATGTAAAAATGCTATAAATGTTTTAAATGCAACAATGTAGATTTCAGAATGCAATAAAAACTTTAGTGAGTTTCATTAACAATTGAATCTGGTAATAAATTAGAGTCTCTAAAAAACGTATGATTTTAAAAAAGATAAACGTGCACTGAAAAACAACTATCCCCAATTGTGACCATTTCAATTAAAAGCAAAATAAAGTTCACAATAATTTTGAAAACTCGTTATCAATCCAAAAAGATCAATCCAAAAAGATCAATATAAGTAAAAAATACACAGCAAACATTTGTAATATTATATCTATTTTGTTACAACAAAATTTTAAACAACTCTTAAAATGGGTTTTTTAATTATAAATCAATCAATTTTGTAGTTATTTTACAAAGTTTTTGCTCAATTCAGTCAGACTGTTCGTGAGATATTATGTGAGTGTTTTTTTTTCGTATATCATTTCTATAGTTTCAGGCGCTGTTATTGTTATTTTATTTGACTTTGCCGTTCGCCGCAGTGCCAAAAACTGCAATTCATATGCAGCAGCCCCTCCCCTGCGGCCGGTGCCCCCCGTCTCCCGCCCATTAAAGCCTTACGTCCCGCCCGATCTCCCGGGTTTTTTATATTTTTTTTTCGTTAGCACATGTCGTTGCATATTAATTTTCGTATGCAAGTGTGCACACATATGCATGTGCGAGTGCTTTTTGCACTTTTTACTCGCTTTGTGCTGCTTCTTGGCGAACTGCATTTTTTTGTTGTTGGCATGCATTCGCAATAAAGAAGAACATATTAATTTTGACTTCTGGTTATTGCTGCACCCAGCAGAAGCAGTGCGAAAAAGAAAGCCCGCGGTGCATTGCAAATAAATTGCATATGCAAAACATTTGGGCGGTTTTCCGCTTGGCTCTTTTTCATGTGTGCTGGCGTTGGCCATTCAGAATTTAATTTATTAAGCCGCTTTTATACAGCAATTAATTTTCTTTTAAGCTGAATAGGCGTAGTAAACTCGTTGGTTGATCAACAACGAAATGCAGTTTGCTTTACTTGATTGAATGTAACTTGTTTTTATTCGACAACGGTGCGTGTACGTGATGATGTGGAATTACCTAATAATTGAATGGATGCGTTTTCATTGAGCAAAGGCGTTCGTGCCACTCACAAAAAAAAAATTGTATTTAATTAAAAATTTATCTCAGATCGCATGCATTTCTTTTTACTATTTGCGTACACTAAATTCGCCTTTTAATTCCTGCCCTTCGCCTCTGATAAGCAAACAATTTCACCCAATATTTGCCTTCGTTTCGAGAAAAAGTATGTCATAAATTTTGTTTTCTCGCCGTCAAAGTACACAACGCAAAAAATGCCAAATAAGACAATAAAATGTATTTCATGACACACTTTTCCACACCGCGTATTAAGTAAATATTTGCGCCTGCTATTTGTTAACCCAAATGAGGGCGAAAATATGCGTAGATTAATGGTTAATAACCCTAAGGTAACTTGTTACCATGTAAGCTTTTGCATGACATTTTGGGTTCTAATAATAGAAGAAAGTTGTGAGTGTTTTATAATTTAAAAATGAATTACAAAGTCCACGAACAATTTGTACTAATAAATACTAATTTTTGTCCATTTGCATACAAAAAGGTTTTAAAGAAATTGTAAGTTGGAAAAGTTATATAAGATAAGTACCAGTATTTAAGTAAAACTACAGTTCATTTCATATACTTTAAGATCTAGTCAAATTTTGAGGATAGCTTTTTAAGCAAATTCCACCTTTAAAAGTACACGTGTAAGTGCTATCGGGTTGACTTATCGATTTCCTGAACTGCATACAAATGAGTGCCTGAATGGCTGTAAAGTTTGAAGCTTTTACTTGTAATAACGGTAAATGTGCCCCTCTCTTTGCATTTCTCTCTTTGCTGCAGCAACCCCCGAGTTATCTGTCTGAAGACCCATAAACACGCACATTCCGGTACTTCGGATAAAGATTTATATGTTTTCGGGGGAAAGGCGAATACGAGTACTGCATTTTCCGTGCAAGCATTTCGAGTATTTCGTAATGCCTGAGAACGATAAAAATTTTAATGCGACTTAAGTAGGCCCCAAGCTCCTTAAAACCGTCTTAAAACTAAAACTTAAAACCCTACTTTTTCACTGATGACGACACACATTCTAGCATAATTAAATATCTGTCTGCCCGCTCAGTTGCAACGAAAGAGTGCGGCTCTTTTAAGAGAAGCCCCCTAAGAGTGGGACAATTGTAAGAGAGTCCGAAGCAGAGAACTTTCTTTTTGATTTTGTTTTTGTTTTATTTTTCTTCGGTTCTCGAGAATGTTGTGTGAGTGTGAGATACTGCCGTGTGGGAAAAGTTCATTGACTCTTGAAAAACATTCAGTCACTCACTCACACAAAGACAGTCGGGTTACTCACTCACTCACTCATCATCTGTCACACATTTCTCCGATCCGAAAAAAAGCGGCAGCGCTTGGCACATTTTTTAAGCTGCGCTCGTGTTGGTGTTGCTTTCTGTTGTGTTTTGATTGTGCTCCCCCTCTGTCGACGTCGACGGCGCTGCCGGCGTCGCTGCCAGCGCTGATGCTGCTGCGTCTGTATTTGTGTGCGTTTGGTTCAGCGCGCATCTTTCATCCTCGTGGGTAAATACAAATACAAATACGCAAGGCAAAGCGCCTAGATTACACAAAACAATACCGCCGCCAGACGAGACCAATCTGCCGCTCTCGCTCTTTCCCTCGCTCCACCATCCCTCTCGCACTGGCTTTTAAGTCCTACACTAGGCCACAAAAGTTTGAGTACTTCAAGAAAAACATTTTAGTGCATTTTAATTATTTTTCTTCTTGGATAATGTTTAATTTGTATGCATTTTTTAATTACCTAGTTTTAAGTAGATTTTTTTTTTAATTGCATTTCTTTACATACATATTTAAAAATATATTTATAAATCATAAAATTTTATGCTTATAACAAAAATTTTAAACATGTATGATTTTATTTTTATACTAATGTGTAAAATGTGCCAGACTTTTGAGCTGTTCAATAAAAAAAAACTATCAAAACAAAGTACTGTCCCCAACTTTTGATGTTGATTCAAGTTCTAAAATATTTTAAGCCTTTTAATTACTACTTGTTAGCAAAGACTTATGTCGGACAACATTGAAACTAATTTTACAGACAAGAATGTTTTTCACCCCACTTCTGCAGGGCAGTGTAAATGGCCGCAGATTTTGATTCTCTCTGTGAACCAGTTCTCAGCGATGCGATGGTGCACTGCTGTTGATCAGGAAATTGCATCACCATCACTGCTGAAAGGATTGCGGCAAGGGAAACCCGAACAGCTGTCGCACTATTTCCCTTCGTCTCTGCGAATCCCGCCCCCTCCTCTTCACTGTCGGGCTATTCTTTATTGTCTGGGCAGACAAGTGGCTTAAGGTACCGCGTGCATTGTGCTGCATGGATAATACATTACAATATTGCGCAATAGTTCTCTGGGGTCGAAGTGGCTTTGTCTGAACTCCGACAATGAAGAGGCTGGCTGGCATCGGAAATCCATTGACTGTAATTGCGGGGCGTTCTCTATTAGAAATAACTTGAGGCCTGCAACTTCAAGATTTTAGTGGGCAAACAGCCTGTCTATAGCTCTTCAATACGTATGCAACTTTACATTAAAAAAACTAGTCTTAGACTCATGTTTTTCGGATCTCTTAAAACTCAGTTTTAATTTATAGGTTGAAATAAACACTTTAATAACTTTGGTACTACTTTCTGTAGAGATTATAGACTCTGAACTGTTGCCGTTTATAAAAAGTAGAATATATGATAATATACTATCGATCTTGTTTATGTTTATCCATTGGATATTCGGATTAATCCTTGCTTGCAGCTTGCAGGTCCCTAGCAAATAAATTTAGGAACTGCTGAAACAAAATTGAATTTAAAAATTACTTAATTTTAAAATAACAACATTCTAACGCACATTTTTTCATCATCTCATTGCAGCTCAAATTGAGATAATTCCATGCAAAGTCTGCGGCGACAAGTCATCGGGCGTGCACTACGGCGTGATCACCTGCGAGGGCTGCAAGGGGTTCTTTCGAAGGTCGCAGAGCTCCGTGGTGAACTACCAGTGTCCGCGCAACAAACAGTGTGTGGTGGACCGCGTTAATCGCAACCGATGTCAATACTGTAGACTGCAAAAGTGCCTAAAACTGGGAATGAGTCGTGATGGTCTGTAAAAAGTGTTAAGCGGTGCACCCAGAGAAATTTGCCAGGAAACTAAATTGAATTTATGCGTTAAAATTAGAAACTGGTTCTGACATTCAAACTTTTGCCAATTTATTCTATATAAATTAAGAAGTTAAAAGAAATATAAATGTGTTGTTTTTGAAATAATTATATCAGTCTAACTTTAATATTAATATTAAATTTTAATTTCAATTATTTATTGGAAACAACAAAGTTTATGCTTAATAGAGTGAGAAATTTTAGTATTTTATAAAGAGGTATGTCCATAACTATTGGCTTAGGCATCAAAATTCCATTGGTAAAAACCATCTCGATTTAATTTCCGCATTTTTCTCCGCGTGCTAGTGATCAACTGGCGCACTGCATTAATGTATTTATCCCGCCCCCATTAACCACCCCCCATTGCAGCTGTAAAGTTCGGCAGGATGTCCAAGAAGCAGCGCGAGAAGGTCGAGGACGAGGTGCGCTTCCACCGGGCCCAGATGAGGGCCCAAAGTGATGCGGCCCCCGACAGCTCCGTGTACGATACCCAGACGCCCTCGAGCAGCGACCAGCTGCATCACAACAACTACAATAGGTGCAGTATGACCGATATGCGAACGACCCCCGCCCCCTGTTCTGATCAGTCCACGATCCCCTTGACCCCTGACCCTGACCCGGACCCTGACTCGCCTGGTGACCTCGATCTTTATCTCCCTACTCTTGTCTGCTCTTCTCTTCCCCGTCTGCCATCACCGATCCCGACCCGTAATGCCCTTCTTGTCACTCAGCTACAGCGGCGGCTATTCGAATAACGAGGTGGGCTACGGCAGTCCCTACGGCTACTCGGCCTCGGTGACGCCCCAGCAGACCATGCAGTACGACATCTCGGCGGACTACGTGGACAGCACCACCTACGAGCCGCGCAGTACAATAATCGATCCCGAATTTATTAGTCACGGTGAGTAGGGGGATATTCCCCATATTCAGAGTTAAAAAGCCCTTCATATGTAAGATTTGTTTTCTCCACAAGTCTCATTTTACAATCATCTTAATAATGGTTGCCTTTTAAAGCTTTTCCAAAAATAATTGCTTATTCTTTGGCTTTAGTAATTTTTTTAAATTAATTATTTAAACTATATGTATGCAACTTAAACTATCGGTAAAATATATAATCAGAACCTGTATCTTACGTTCTGTTGATAGAATGTTTTATGAGAACTAGGCAAAATCTAAGCTTTTCGGAATATTATGAAAACTTAAACATAACATTAATAGCAAAGTTAAAAGGTTAAATTATGGCTAAGTTTATATGTTATATCTTTGAAGACTTTTTACTTTTTTTTTTTTAACCAAAAGTAGGCTTTAAGTTGCCAAGTTAGATATGTTTTCACAGTTTTAAACACACATTTAGCATTAGCATATAGCATTATGATTTCGCAAAAATGGGTCCCAAAACATGTTGCAAAAATTTGATAATTAGCTATATCTGATACCCCCTTAGCGGATGGCGATATCAACGATGTGCTGATCAAGACGCTGGCGGAGGCGCATGCCAACACAAATACCAAACTGGAAGCTGTGCACGACATGTTCCGAAAGCAGCCGGTGAGTGTTTATCGAGAAGCCCCGAAAGTATGCCCTGGATAACTGGGTATTCAATCTTTTCTCGCTGTGTAGGATGTGTCGCGCATTCTGTACTACAAGAATCTGGGCCAAGAGGAACTCTGGCTAGACTGCGCCGAGAAGCTTACACAAATGATACAGAACATAATCGAATTTGCTAAGCTAATACCGGGATTCATGCGCCTGAGTCAGGACGATCAGGTAATATTATTATTAAATATATTTAGAGTATTTAATATAATATTATTTTTGTTTGTTTTTGGCTTAGATATTATTGCTGAAGACGGGCTCATTTGAGCTGGCGATTGTTCGCATGTCCAGACTGCTAGATCTCTCACAGAACGCGGTACTCTACGGCGATGTGATGCTGCCCCAGGAGGCGTTCTACACATCCGACTCGGAGGAGATGCGTCTGGTGTCGCGCATCTTCCAAACGGCCAAGTCGATAGCCGAACTCAAACTGACTGAAACGGAACTGGCGCTGTATCAGAGCTTAGTGCTGCTCTGGCCAGGTGCGATTTATTTAAATATAAACATATTTCTTTTAGTTATATCATATCATAACTTAACGTTTCCCGTGTCCCTTTTCTAGAACGCAATGGAGTGCGTGGAAATACGGAAATACAGAGGCTTTTCAATCTGAGCATGAATGCGATTCGGCAGGAGCTGGAAACGAATCATGCGCCGCTCAAGGGCGATGTCACCGTGCTGGACACACTGCTGAATAACATACCCAATTTCCGGTAGGTCAATGAATGGTACATTGTGCTTGAAAAGATATTAAATTAATTATTAGGAAAAAAAAAATCTAGGCTTAATAGTATGGTAAAGCCGAAGATTGTTAGTTAAGTTCTTCAGTTTTCCAAAAAGCTCTTGTTTCTCAAAAATAATAAAATAATAATTTTCAACCAATTTTGTACTTTATTGTATAGTAAATACATTTGAAAATACTATGTATCAATTTTAAGTTGATCGGCAAGTTTAAAAAATGTTAAAAACCTCTGTTTGGTATTTTTCTTTTGAATGAAAGTTTATAAATTAAAGTAAGGAATTTTCTTTCAAGCACAAATGTATCTACCGTCTACCACATGTATGTAACACGCAATTTTCCAAACTTTTCCAGCGACATTTCCATCTTGCACATGGAATCGCTGAGCAAGTTCAAGCTGCAGCACCCGAACGTCGTTTTTCCGGCGCTGTACAAGGAGCTGTTCTCGATAGATTCGCAGCAGGACCTGACATAACAAGAGCAGCAGCCGTTCCTGGAGACGACCGCGGACGAGGTTGCCGAGGATGCGGCTGCCACCGGATGTGTCCTGCCGCCGGTGGCGCCCCCTGCCGGGCAGCAGCAGCCGCCGCTGCTCGAGGACTGAGGGCCGCAGGATGCGGCAACAATAATTATTTGAATAACCAACCACTGCGCGTGCGGCAGATACAAGAACTTTATCATGATTTAAGCTAGCATACAACCAAGGATGTGATCCTCGCCAAGGACTCACTTAAAAAGAACTCTATCTATATACATATATATATTATATATGAGAGAGCGGATGACGCAACGGGAAGGGGAAATATTTTAAAAATATTGTTAACTCAGTTAAGACTTTTGCTTCGTAGAGAACCGAAACGGAAACCGAAACGGAAACCGAAACCGAATCCGAAACCGAAACCGATTGCATTTCGAGCAAGGGGCATCAAACTCTGATTTTCGAGGTTATACTATATATGTATACGTATGTAACTTCCCAACTCTCATATCCAGACCCGAGCAGATCAGATCGACTAAGTACTTAAAACCAAGCGAAATTCTCTACCCCGCACATCCAGAACTTCAGTTCGGTTAACCCCTCCTTCCCCTCTATAAATCCCGACTCCGATCCCGCCTAGGTTGTCTTTGCCTTACGTTGTAACTAAAGTATGTGTATTATATATACAGCAGATGTATGTATAACTATAACTATGTCTTATCGGTTATATGCCTAACAACAATATTTCTTTGTAAACAACAACAAAATCGAATATCTCGGAAAATGTGTTCTTATAATTATATTGATTAATGCAATTACAATATATTTACAATTTACCGTTACGTTTTTACATTTTACATAAGACGAAGAGAGGACGAAACAGATGATTAAGGATTAGGATGCAAAAAAAAAAAAAAACAGAAGAAGCAAAGTAGCAGTTAAAGTGAGCGAGAAATCGAAAGAATACATGGAAATTTCAAGCAAGCACATAAAAGTATGCAATATTTTGTTTAAAAACAACTTTTTATTAGTTTCTTAAATATAACATAATTACGTACATACACACACGTATATATAGGGCTATATATATCTATATATATACATGATAGACAAATCCCAATCCGGTTCCAAGGTTTAGTAAAAATAAAGAGAAATAAAACGAAAAACAAAAAACAAAAAACTTTTGATATGAAATCCTACGCATAATTAAAAACTTTTATTGTTTCTAAGACTTAAGCTTAAATAAAATGAAAAACCAAAACAGACTGACGGACCGACCCCGACAGCATGCCACGCCCTCTCCCGCCCCCTCCCTCCGCAGATCCTGGCAGAAAATAACACGGAGTTCGATGCAACAATCGAGTAAAAGAAATCTTCAAAAAAATAAAGACAAGCAAACAGCAACTTTTTTGGTTGATACATTTAAATATATACAATTATATAACTGACTGACTATACAAAGACGTTACACACATGCATACACACACATACACGCGTATACACACACATGCTTACATTACATAAATTAGTTAAACTTAGAGTAAACGAAACAACAACATACACATTGGATAGTAGGTGATAATTGGTGTGTCTTAAATAACCCCTCCCCCTTTCCCGCCCGCCCACTTGCTTATTCCCCCACGCCCCCAACATCCCCCCATTTTGACTAAATTTAAAGCTTAATCAAAACAATTTTTGGTACATATTGAAAATGAAATTTCAGCAGGCAGGCATAATTATTAATTAACATTAATTATAGCAAGGAAAATTATAAATAAAATGTATACAACAAAAACTAAAAAAATTAAATAAATTACATTTTGCAAATCCAAAAAAAAAAACAACAAACAAAAGCATTATTTTGCAAGTTATCTCAAAAATCCTTTCCCTGAAACCGTGCGAGAAATATTTACACTAGCTTACATAAAACTGGGACGAGGACATCAATATTTCAATTGAAAAAAAATCTATGTTAATGTATTTGATCGATTTGGACATATTTAAGTTCGACATTTTTGGCCTTACAAAAGAAAACAAAAAGAAAGAAACCTAAAGTACTTTATATATATACAAACCATATATACAATATAGAGAATACAAAACTAGTTTTAATTTATACAAAGCAAGGGAGCAGCTTTCAAACTCAAAACAAAAATATCCCCAAAAAAACAAAAACTTTGTTAAAAATTACCCATAATAAAGAAATTAATTGAATAAACAGAACACAAAGTTAATCTATAATATAAATTGAAGTTAAGTTGGTTTGAGCGGTCGATGGCAACAACATAAATGTATCTGTAAATGATATATGTATTGTTAAATTTGTATGCTAAGTTTTTAGTGAGAGAAACGGTTAAATTTTTAAATAATAATAGAAGATCGCGAGCTCGACACGGTGTAAAATGAGTACATTTAAATTTAAATTAGCATATATACGGCATAAATATTATGTTACGATATTTACATTTATATAAAACAACAAACACAAAAGAAACCGACAAAAATCAGAAGTCCCTTATAAAAAGAATAAATCGAAAAGATGATATTAACTGACAAGGGAACTCTGAATCTGAAAAAAAAGAAAACCGAGAAGGGAAATACATTAATTATACAAAACCAAAAACTTATAAAGAAAAGAAGGCAAATTATATATTATATATATGATTAAGTAGCTTTAGGCCGACTGTTGCACATAAACATACACCTCACACACACACACAAATTCACTAACATAAACTCTCACTTGCAAGTAGAAAAAGCTGCAAATGACAGTTACAAATGTTCAATTGCAAAAAGGAGCTTTCATAAACTCATTTACATAACATCATTCTTTTTTACAGTGCACAAAAAAGCAATATTCGGGTATAAAAAGCAACTCAATAAAGAAAATCACAGTGGTCGTTGGCTAATTTTTATTTTTTATTAACGTTTAATAATAAACGATGCTTGTTTACATAACTCTTTGATTTGGAAATTCAGTTTTATATTACATTTAAAAACTTTTAACCAACTGATAACATTTTGTATGTGCATTAACTGAAAAACTGTTTGTCCGAATTAATAAAATAATAAAACCCAAGCTACAATTTAATATTTGTATCGTATCGTCTTGCCAGTAACCACTGTAAGTGTTTTGAACTCTCGTCATTAATCGTAAAATTTCCTCTGACCCTACAACGTGGCGTATGAGTAACACTCAATGCTACGCAAAATTTGTTATTTATATTTCAAGAGAGCTAAACTCGGAGCATGTTTAATTTCAAACAATACCACAACATCTATCAGTTTTTTAATGCCAGGGCACGAACATAAATTAAACCGAAATCAACAGATAAACCAATATATTATTTGTGTATGTAGATTGGCTGTAAACAAATAGAGGCGGAGGCACACGAATGTTGCATAAGTCGAAAACAAAAACACAGAGAACATAACCTTTCAACAGGAATAAAACGAATGTTGCCACGTGCATAAAATGGAGAGGAAATCATTTTTTATAAACTATCACACCACACTCACAAACACAACACACACACACACATGTAGCTTTAGTTTACTAGGTGAATTCGTTTTTATATATTTGTAAATTGTTTTTAGGTAAATCGAATTATATATACACACACATATATATATATAAATCTCGATACATATACACGCATATATATGGAACAGATTATATATATTATGTCATACTGCATTATGATTATTACGATTATTATGATTCAACACAGTACCCAGAAAAAGGCAGAAAAGCATCAAATGGTGAAACCAAGATAACCCAGATTATCCGAAAAAAAGTGCTGGAAAAGCCGTTCAAGCCGCAGTTCAGGATGCAGAGATCGGAAAAGAGCAAATAATTCAATTCATTCTTAACAATAAAATGTAATCTGAATTAAACAAACGAAACAAAAAAAAAAACAACAGCAAACCAAAAGAGAAAACAAAAGAAAATCATAAAGAAAACATTTTTAACTGCGTTTTCTTACTTGGGAAAGCCGATGGTTAGTGAGACAGGGGTCAGGCCTTCATTTAATGGCCTTTGTTGTGCTGTTTTTCCAATTAAAAATTTCATTTATTGGCCAACGGCATTGTTAGGGGCTCGATTTTGCATTAATAGTCCACATAAATGAAACGTCAATCAGTTCGGATGGGAAGTGCAGGCTTTGACCAACGAAGACAGGAAATGTGCCGAGATATTCGTACGGAAGTGGACAAGGGGGCTTACCCCATCATAAAGTGACTGTTTATCAAGCAACTACAACTTACGGGAAACCAACGAGACATCAGGCATTTGGATCAGAGCCAAGATGAGATTATCCCATGACTATAATATTTCGAACACTAAAAAATTATGTTGAAATAAATTTATTTAAAAGTCTTATTCAAAGATATCGGTGTGCAGCATTGTGGTAATTACCAAAAAATTTGAGTTGAGTTGTTTAGATATTTTATTAGTCTGGATCAGTGGCAGTTTAAAAAATATATAATATTTTGATCATGAAAATGTCATTATAAAACAATATATATTCTTTTAGGTTGATTCGCTTTAAAGCTTGAATAGATACAAATTTTTTTTTAATTATAACATGTTAATTTTCAATTATAAATTAAATTAAATTACCTGAAAACATCCGTGGAACATTAAGTTTTATAAGCCAGAGTTGAATAAATCTGAGTGACCGCACCCGCAAAACAATCTGAAAGTCACTGGACAGAAACAGGAACGCAATGTCTCATGTTATTTAGGTCAATTGCAGTCATGTGTATGCGATCACGAGCCATTTGAAGGCCAACCCGCTGGGCGGACCAGAATGTCTGCGAAACATTGCGATATATGTTAGTTTGATTTCTGCTAGGTTCAGCAAACTTCTGTGGCACTCCGAAATGCTCAATCGTCTAACTCGCTTTTGATGGCCATAAATTAATGCACCCCTCCAACGGCGAGTCTCGAGTCTTGAGTCTCGGAGGCCATAAAAACGTGCTGCATACTATATACAAGTAGTATAGTCGAGAATCTTGTATGTTGCTGTTCAATACGCCATAACAACGTGGCAACAACGACAACGACACCTGGGTGCCCCGTTAAAGGCAAATCCATGTTAGCGCCAAAGCAAAACTTTTGCCCCCACTTGCCCCACTACAAAAAAAAAAAACACCCACGTACACTTGTGGTCAGAACTAGATTTATGGCCACTTGCACAAGTTGCCGATTCCTGTGGCAAGGTCGCTTTTGATGATGTCAGCAAGGCAACTAGTTTTGCCAGCAAGAAGTTTTCCAAGTTTATCCTCAGATCTTTGCACTTGATTCATTGGCAGCTGGGAAATCGAGTTTCAAGGACAGCAAGAAATTGCTGATGATGCTGCTTCAAATGATTTAATATAACATGGAAATCAGATTAAAACAACTGTTTTGACTAATTTCGGCCAACACGTACGTTTAATTAAAGCTTAAATCCGATATAATGATTCATGTCATATCTTAGGAGCGACTGTGTTATGGACTGTGCAGTCCAAGGACAAGACTTGTGTTATTTGCCTTATTTTTCGTTTTTATCAAAAATCAGTTTAGTTCATTAAATTAATGTCTTCACATTGTTTTAATAGTCTCCAGTCGACTTAAACCATTAAATAACGATAAACAATAATCTCTGATATTAATAGTTAGAGTTAAAAGGAAGTTGATTTTGATAATAGGTGTAAACCACTGACCAAATGCCCCGACGGCAGACTTGATTTCACTATTTTAAAGCAATGTGATTTTACCAAAAAAATTCGGTATTAAAAGTATAGAGGTTTATAGGTATATAACCAAACCAACAATTTGATTTACCCAATTCCGTACTGCAATTCCACAGAAATGCTGAGGCTAATTAGTGACTAACTTACTGCTAGCATGTACTTCATAATACAAATCCGTACCTGTTTGATTAAGGAAAAGCGTGTGAAATGTGTTATATCAGCACGCCTTTCTTCGGTCGAAACCTGATCCGCTTTTTGGTCAAACAGCCGCTTAATCCCAATCGAACTCTTTAATATGGTCATCAATTACATATGGTAAATGAAGCGGGAAACTCTGGCGGCTGGCATGCAAATGCATAATAAATACACAAATTTTCACTTTGTTTTCATTTTGATTTTCCCTAACCATGTTTTTTTTTTTGTTTTTATTCAACCATGGTTTGGCTCTGCAATTTTAACGCGCTTCCGTCAATTAAACTTACGAGGCGTAACTGGCAAACTGGAAAATTGTGTCACACACAAGCCACCCGAAGTCCACCCACCGGAATGAAAAGGGGTGCTGATGTTGCACATGAATGTTGCATGTTGCATACATAGGCATATGCGGCGATGATCGACATAGTTAAGTGAAAATTTATTGCGAGAGGAAATGGATGGCGGACGGGCAGACATCGGCCTGATGTATCGGTTTCCGGGACTTTGGCTTTCGGTTGGATAATCCTTGGCAGGCCATTCCGAAGTGAAAGGCCGTGAGCACAACAGGTTAAGCAAATTTGGCTTTTACTCCGGCTTCGACACTTTCATTTGCATTGGCCGCATCGCCACTGGCCATCTTCAATATTAATCTGCGGCTTCTACCGTCCTTGCGCAAGATTTCTGTGTGAATATGAAAACATATAGGTTTACTCATTTGAAATTGAAGCACACAAATGTTAACAAATATTTAACAAACTTTTTCTTTAGTCTGATTTCAGTAAATATTATTTATACTTTTTGTTTGATACCAACTTAACTTTGTTAGTACACCCAAAAAAAAGTTGTCATAGAAACTAGACTTATGTTTAGTTTTAAACTATTGGGTATTAAAAAATCCTCAATAAGATGAGTTTTAAATTAATACCTCAAAAGTATAAAAATAAATTTTATTAAAAATTAAATTTTATTAAAAGAAAGTCCTTAGGTTACAGTTTAAAGATCTTCGATTAAGAAATTAAACTTAAAAGTATAGGGGTAATATCATTTAGTATTGAATGAAAACTTTCACTTCAAAACACATTTATTACACTTTTTATTATTTATATTATTCGAATATTTTTTGTTGAAAATACATAGTTAAATGCAAATAAAATAAATTGTACAGCTCAGAGTCAGCGTATCACAAACCTATTGCAAGGACATTTTATTTTTTTAAAGCATAAGTTTGAAACATATTTTATACTTCTAAATTACGTTCGCCATAAGAGATAGTTTGTATAATGTTTGTAGTATGGAGATGATATGCCTCTACAAAAATTGTTGTTGCAAACTTTATGCTGACATTGTCGGTAACAAATAACAATTTTATTCCAAAGCAACTTTTTGCATTTCGTTTTTTTATAAATAGAAAAGACTTTTCCGTTGATGTTGCCACCATCCACGCGAATGTGGTGCTAATGACCCGATGTCAGCCAACCACCGCATCCAATCGAGCCACTTTGTATGCAATTAATTTTGACACTTTTTCGCAATTGCGCGATCATGCTGGAGAAGTGGACCGAACCGGTCAAATGGCCCGAACAAATTTCTCGCTTTTATGATTATATCATCATGGTGTGTCCGTTAATTGCCCAACTTCTGGCAGTGGAACTGCGCGAGGAGAAAACTTTCCTCCTCGTCGACAATTGCAGACCAATGAGAGGCCTCCCTGGAAGTATCAACGTTATATCATGTCAGGCGGAACAGCGCTGAAAAAACGGCCAGAAAAGCCAAACTCGTCGGATGAGCCCGTCTCCGGCGGAGCGAAGACAATGACCAAGTGTCGTGCCGGTCTGGATTTGTCATTGTTATGCAATCGCGGCGTGCCAGCGAAACCAGTTGATTAGCTAGCCGAAATGGCCGAAATGGCCGAAATGGAGCGCTTCCTGCATTACATTCATGGCTAAAGCCCAAGTACCTGCGACGCGGGCCCAGCGGCCAGAATGGCCAATCAAATGGATTGCCATCGTGCTGGGCTGCACATTTAAATTGCAATCAAATGCAGGTCGGCGCGAGTGCATTTACACTGCGAACTTTACAGGGTTATGCGTTACAGTGTTTGTGTTTCGTAACCTTTCAAGGTCTGTTTTCCAGACATTATGGTAAGTTAAAAAATGGAAATAACTAGACATAGAGACGAACAAAAAAAACCTAAATACATAATTACATTTAATAAAACCAATTTCCAATATTAAGAAAAAAAGTACGTTAGCATATGTATAGGTAGGCAGAGTAATGTGTTTAACTGTTTTGGTGATTTTTCCCAAAATTAGGCCATGTTTTTCATTAAATATTTGATATTATTGTAGCACCTATTGAGGATACAAAATAGAAAAGGAGGGTGGTTAACTAAATTAAATTGTAGACTTTGTAGGCTCGTGGTATAAGGCTTTTTATTAAAGCGAGAACAAATATTTAAATAATTGTGACCTTGGAAGATCATGTTGTTCAATTTTGCACTTGGTAAAATATGTCAATACTCATTTTATTTTCTAAATAATTATTAGCTTAAGTCAAGGCTGACAAAATGTGTCAAGAAAAATTCAAAATTTTGTAAAAGCTTTAAAGGAGTTTAATTAAAATTTAAACCTTATTTTGAAAGTACTCTTATAAAATAAAAATTAAAAATCCCTAATAAACTTAAACTTAATCGTTCCGTCTAATAATACCAAATAATTTGTAAAAAGCAGGCAAATCCTTATGATAAAATTTATTATAACTAGGAAAACCGGTTTTCTCTCAGTGGATATGCTTTTGACACGACGACATATTTCAGCGCACAACTCAATTTGCGACAAACGAATGCGAGTCCAAATGCCTAACCAGGAAGCTGGCTAAATCCTTGCCACTGCAACTGGAAACTGCAACTGGAACCTGCTGCCGGCGCCACCACCCCCTCCTCCTCACCCCCTTCGCCACCTCCCCCCACTTCAGCCTGCCCCGCCCCCTTTTTTTGCGAACGCTAGAGGCTGCCAGACCGACATAATCGCTGCGTTTAACTCAGGCGCAGGCTTCAATTACACGTGGCCCCATCTCGCTCACTCTGTGGCACTTTGAGTTGGAAAAGTGTCTTCATGTTCGGCGACTTTTCCACCGGGTGACGGTTGCGAGCGCAAGTGCGAGCGAGAGGGGGACATACGGTACGAGAGCTTGTGGCTTTGAGGCTGACTTTCTGGATTGCCTCTGACTTTGCTGGTTACTTTTGGGTTTTGTTTTGGCTTTGGCTCGGTATATTTGCGGCATAAGTTTTCACTATCATGTCAGGGTGGAAAACACCCTACCCATAGTTAATTTGGGGGTATATGGAAAATATAACAATCATATATTAAATAACCGGCTGTATATAAAAGCATGTAATCGAATCATTATTATTATCAAATTATTTATTATTTAGTTTTAAATAACTAAAAGTATTCGATTCAAAAACAATGCATAATTTTATAAGAATTAAATACAATTGACTGGTGTTTTTGAATATATACAGAAGATGTCTGTTGCAACGTACACTAAAACTAAATATGTTACAATGGTAAAATAAATAAATCAATTAAATTAATTTTCAAATATTTTTCTACTTACTTTTTGGGCCAACAAGCTTATTTAAAATAAATAAAATATTCTCTCTAAATTTAATATTCAATTTTAATTTAATTGAAAGTAAAATTAAAATTAAAACTCTTAAGGCATTATTCGAGAAATAAATATCTGGCTTTTGGAAAACTTATATTTTTTCTGAAAATTATTTTTGTTGAACTCTACAAACTGAAGCGCTTTTAGTAAGTCGACCAGATCGGAGAAATGTCAGTGCGAACCCCGGTTTTAGGCAGAGAGACTTGGCTGTTAGCCACTTCCGCTGCCCCTCAGCCGAGTTGATTATGTTTTTGTTTTTACTTCGTTTCCAACTCAGCAACTTCGTGTCACCGCATTGTTGCTGCAAGTGGCGCTGCCGTTCGTGGCATGTTTCACTGTAGCTCATAACTTTTTTCTTCACTTTTTGCCTCATATTTAAGCGGATGCAGGCGGCGAGTCCCAAAGCAATTCCATTTCTACGCCCGTCGACGATGGTTTACCAAAATCCGCACTTTTAATCCAATCAAACAACATCGAACAAATAACAAAAAAAAAAAAAAAAACAGTACAATACTGCAAATAACAATGCATTTGCCCCAAGGAGTAAGTGTTAATTAAATTTTCGAAACGAGCAAACAATGAAACGGCGCGAAATAAACGAATGTATACATAAAACAAGAAAATAAAATAAAAATAAATATTTAAATTAAATCCGGCTTAGAAAGTCCCGCGCAAAGTGCACGAAAAATATGCAAATAAAAAGCTTTCATTTAGCAACGAAATTATTGACTCCAATCGCGCGGGAAATGAATAAAAAAAATTCGAAAAAATGAAATAACCACAAAAATCTAATTTGGTTTTTATGACCGAAAAATGTCGAAACATGAAAAGAACTCTCAAGTTGGCCATAAACGGTTAATTGAACGAAAATGTGAAACAAAGGGAAAGTCATATTTGGACATAGTAAAGGGACCAGCAAAGTGAAAGGGAGTGGTTTTGTGATTGTGAAAAAGTCGGAAAATTGCGACCATATCTGTTCCAATGAAGTGATAAGCTTATGGAACTATGTTTCAGTGAATTTACTTAAAAACAGCGGTATAACTACGAGCAAAGATGGGCCGCAAAATATTTAACAGATTTATGTGTTTAACACATTGTATACAAACTTAAAATTAAATAAATTTCTAATTTTCTTTTAAAGAGTTTTTAATACTTATAAGACATTTTGTTTTCGAAGAATTTTTAAATCTTTTAAATAAGCAACAAATTACAAAAGTATTTTGAATAGTGTCTTTTAATTTGTTAATTTTCAATTCAAATTGTTTCAACCTAAAAAACAAATTTCACATTCTCCAATTTTTTCCAGCTTCAGCAATCAGCTAGAGAGAAAAGCAATTTTGTTTACTATTTTAGGGTAGGCATTGTCTGAGTTAAGGCTAATTTACCACCAAGTCAGTAGTCGCAAAATGATTTTCTATTTCCGTCTTGGCCAACTTGGAGTTGACCGGGGTCAAATTATCCTTCCTGTGCGGCTGACAGCTTCTGTCACGCCCACATCAAAAAATTGTGGAGACGAAGGCGGTCCCATCATCGTTAGATGGGCCTGCCAATAATAATAAGCTCGGGGAGATGAGGTCCTTGGATGCGTATTATTATGCTAATTGTATTGTTCGGCTGTTTATGAGCTGTTTGGGCAAAAATAGGGGGCGATAACCTCTTTGCGTTGGCGACCGAATCGTAATCTTTATACTTGTTTCCGTTGCAGGCATTAAGCTTTCTGTTCATCACTTGCATGATGTTCGCACTGGCAGGCGGCCATCCATCAAGCGACAAGCTAAAGTAAGTCCCTGCCCCATGGCCACGCCCCTTTAACGACCACACACAAAAATATTATTTAAAATTTATTTGACAGTGCTATGAATTTAATATTCAAAGTTATTAATGTACCAAAAACTTCTACTATATATATATTTGATAACAAAAATCTTAAATCTTAAATCTAAAAAGAAAAACAAACACTTTAGGATATTATAATATTTGTAGGTCTTGAACTAATTGTTTTATACACATTTCAAGATTAACTTTACATACATTTTGTATATGATTTTGTACATGATATAAAGCTAATAAAGCTATTTACTTATTTGAAAAATAAATATTTTTTATTCAGTTTTGTTAATCAAAATACGAATAAATATTGTTTTTTATTTTTTTTATTTTATTGTTTATTACTTTCTCAGTTTACAGCATTAAAAACAACAAAATAAACATCCCTAGAGAAATAGTTTTATATATTGGAATAATTTCTATATTATTGTATAGGTTTAATTTTATGAATATGAAACAAATTTTCTGTGTGTGGTTTATAGAGTCCCACTGCTCTTTTATGTTTTTGCTGTGTAACAATGTTCCTGGGCCATTTGACCATTTACAGGATCCGCATACACGTGCCCGTGAAGCACCACACACATGTGCACACAAAGACGGTCATTAAGAAGGTTCCGCTGCCCATTCCGGTGCCGGTCAAGGAGCACCACCACGAGCCGAAGAAGCACCACAGCAGCCGGAGCCACCACCACCACAACCACGAGGACGACCAGGACGACGATTTCGAGGGCTACGAGTATCCCATCAAGGCCAAGCGGCGGCGCACGCGGCATCCCTTTGTCTAAGCCCGGGTACAAACCACCCAACAAACCACCCAACCAACCACCCAAACGCCCCCTCAGCGGGGGAAATGAAATCAAATGAAATACAATTTACGCAGATTAAGACGAAAATAAACCAAAAGACGAGGCAGCTGGAGTACGATACGTAAAGGACGGCCAAGAAAAAACAAAACACAGCAGAGGCAAACACAATCCTGGGTCTGATTTGTCATTGTTTTTTAGTGTGTACGCGAAATACGTAAAATAAAACAAGAATCCTTAGAAGTAAGAAAAACATTCCAGTGCAATAAAATAAACAAATATTACATTTAAGCACAATTTAAAGCTTGCGTTCAGAAGTTGTTTTCTTACTTTCGGGTTTATTTTCATTGGAATTTCAAACACGACAAAGTTTTCTGAGATAAACATGTGTTTGTGGGTTTCATTTGGATTCTCAGAGAGTATGAGTATATAGACATTTGTTGTTAGTAAACTTTCGATATACGAACTCATATCGTTTTCTAAACTACAAATTACCCCTGGTTTTTTGATTTGTTTTCTAAGAGAAATGATTAGAGAGTTAATTAGAATTTAAACTTTTCTTAAATTTAAATTATTCGTGAAATAGCATTCAAACTATTTTTGTTCTTGTATTGAAAAGTAAGCAAATGTTAATTTATTTTTTACGATTAGCCTACAACTACCAGAATATATTTGTTTTTTTAAACAATTTAAGTACAAAGAAAAACTTCTTAAGAGGTAACATGCCCCATGCTGTACAACATCCATTTTATAGTGGTGAAATAAGAAAGTGTGCGGCAGAAAAATCAGGAAAATTCCGCATTTTCTGGGTGCTCAGCAAAGAGATTTAAACTGATTGAATTGAACATTTCCAGCTGTTGCTGCTACTGCTTGCGATGTTGCTGCTGGTGATGTTGCTGCTGCTGCCGTTGATGTTGCTGCTGTCGGTGTGGCTGTTGCCTTTGGATGGCTCAACCACCTGCACCTTCTGTGGGATATTTGTGCATAAATAAATGAAGCAAACGACATGCGAAACAGCAAAGTAAACCCAAGGCCGGGCTGTTTGTAATGATGTTGTGGCTCCGCCGAATCCTTCTCCTCCTTTCCGTTGGATGGAGTGTGGGCACCAGGAGCGGAGCTTACGCCATGAAATATGCATGCTCAGCTGCGACCCGCTTGCGTTTCTCTGTCCCGCTCTTGCCACCGTGGCGAACTCTAGGTCGACGGCGAAGGCAAAGGCGACGGAGCGGAGCGGAGCGACAGCACGTGCTGGGACGTCTAGTCAACAGACAGGCTCAAAAGAATGTCAACAACTGCTCGCCTGTTGCCTGTTGGCCCCCTGAGTGCACTGACAAAAATTATAGTACTCAGCAACTCAGATTTCTCTCATAATAGTATAAAACTAGTCTTAAATGTATTGATAACATGCTGCTTTTATCTGCAATGTAAATTTTATATTTTTGGTATTTTAATTATGATTCCCTTTTTCAAAAAAAAACATTATTTATATATAATTGCTCCGAAGAACCAAACAAATTTTAAATGCATAAACATGCCAACGATTTAATCTTAAGATTTAACAAAAGTTGACTTGATCGAAACAAAATGGATAAAAGTGTGAAAAATAAAAATTTACCCAATTGAATGCCAAGTTAGGTGAAAATTTCTCACAGTGCGTGTTTTCCTATCGCCCGTGCAAACAGGCCCGGGGCGGCAGCTGTTGATGGCTCATTTTCCACGACTTTAGCGCCGCTCAAGTACCAGCCACTCAAAGACGTGGCAAAGGCATAAGCAGCAACAAAGGCAGCAACACAACCGGCAACAAAAGCAGCCAACGCAAATGCCACTCGTCATGTAGAGCCACTCAATTTACTCAGCACTCAGCGGCTCTGTACGAGATCGGCGGGGAAATCGGACTAGTGGGGGGTCTAATTAATACGACCACCCACCACCTGCTAGCCAAAAAAACACCCACCACCCAATAACCACCTGCTGGCGAGGCACACTTAAGAGTGGGTGGTGGGTGAAATGGAATGAAATGGAATGGAATGGAAAGGAAGCAGCAAATTAATCACCAGAGCTCTTACGAAGCGGGTCGATAAAGCAGTGTATGTTAATGGACAAGAGTTTGAGCCCGTATGAACTGCTTGGCCAGCCACTGTTAAGCGATCACTTTTATCAATTCATACTCTTTTGTAATTTGTTTGTTGTTGTTTTGTCATTTTATAAATGCAAACATAAAAACTGTCATAGAAAATTATATGTTACAGATATATGTTAGACATCGATTAATTTATGAAATCCCATTTGATAGAATAAAAAATCATTTCAAAATATTAACAAAAAAAAGTAAAGTAAATGACAAAATAAAAAGTGCGAATTGGTACATTTAATAAAAATAAAATAAATAAACATTTAATTAAAATAAAATGGATGATTGTAGTTGTACAACTTTGATTGACAAGAGACTTAATCCCAGCGGGTTCAACCCAGGATCTTAAACCGAGTCTAGGCGGTGAAAATGCCATCCCATGAGAATTTGTGGGTGTTAAGGCCATATATTTACTTGGCTCTTCGTGCGGCTGCTGCTACGCCGCCAGTTGTTGTTGTTTGATTTGGGCGCTTCTATTTGATTAGGCCGCCTAAGCGAGCTACGTGCTTGGGTTAATTTGTGGCCCAAGTGTTGGCCCAGGGTGCGAAAGTCATTGTTACTGGATGTATATATCTACATATGTGTGTTTGGTATCTGCGCTGATGTTTGTGTTTGTGGTGACAGCAAATAAATCGCACGCATGTGCTCCACGCACAGCCAAACATTACGGATACTCGGCACTCAAAAAAAAATCTGAAATTAAACTTTACTATTAGGCCAATAACATTTTATACAGAAAAAACAATAGACAGCTTATAATTAATATCCTTTAATTTAAAACTAGAGCAAAACCGTTTGTTACTATCGATTTAGCAAAGGAAACCTATTAATTTTCTTTCCTCATATGATACAATATTTAGAACTATTTTTCACAGTGTGGCGCACAAACAATAATACAAACACAAAAATTGTGCATAGCACGCATAACAATGAGAGAACATTTCGAGTTTCAGGAGAGGTTGCCCTGGACAAACTACTTTTCGGCTACTTAGTGATAAATATGCTGGCTAATCAAATGCGAACTAGATTTGCGGATTAGTGGGGCAAGGAGTTCAGTGACCAAGTTACAAATCCCCTGACTAATTTCCATTCATCGTCAACGACACGAACTTGTAGATTTTATCCTAAGTTTTTGGACAAAGAGCTAAGCCCAAATAAAGGCGAATTAATTCAGTAAAAAGATTTATTCTGCTTAAATCTAATGTATGTATAAATTGAATGGATATCAGAGTGCAGTTATAGTTAGTTAGTTTAACCCTTGAACCTCAAAGTTCAAAAACAAAAAATCTAATAAATAAAGTTGTAGAATTAAAATAAATTAAAAAGTTAACTTATAGACCAAATGAAAATTTTGTTGTTCATTTTGCCAAAATGGAATTCCAAATAATGTTTACTCCTAATAACGTTCAAGGCCACAAAGTTAGGGGTCATTCAATGTTACCCCTTAACTTTCCTAACTGGCGCAATGAAAAACAAATTCAATTTTATTATGGCTGGGATTAGGTTAACAGACCCCAGGGTATACATCATTCTACCTATCCCTACAACCATAATTTTCTAGTTGGCCAAAAAAATAAAGCACCAGCTTGGGTCAAAAGGACATTTGTCTCGAGTGGACGGCCAGCACTGGAACCCCTGTCATATTTGAAATACAAACATAAAATTACAGATTTGCTGACTTCAGAGCATAAAGCGAGGCAAACATAGTCCATATAAACAGATTGTTAAATATAGTTTATGCCGCAGGCTCTCCGAAAAGGAAATGGTGCCCGACTTTTCATATTTCTTTTACGATTCTGGGATGAAGTCGAGCTGAATGAGCAGAAGCTCAGTCCTTTGGAATGGGATGCGATTTTATTGCCCATGGGGAAGGGATGGGTGCGGAATCAATGTCAGGCTTCGGTTTTATTATTTGCATACTCGTTTTATGGCCCCCATTTAGCGATGCGAACTTTCCGCCGCCCGTTTAATTCCCAATTAATTTGGGATTTGGCCAGTGCTCTCCGACCAGTTAATTAGATGGCCATAAAACGGCCGCTAAATGCCGCCGGGGAGGACGTACAGCATCTGCCGTCTGGGCCGCAATTTCGGCAATAAATGCGCTCGTCACATGCACAAATTAATTACAAATAGTAGTTGCTTTCCGGCTTGGCCCAGCTGGTAAAACCGAAATTTGGTTGCATATTTTACAGACTGGAAATGAGAGTTTCAAACACAAACACACAGCCGTGGGGAAAACAAATGCACTATTACAAAAACCAACAAATTGGCGACTCATTAAACGATAAATGGTGTTTTTCAGTTTTTGGGTATGTGAAATATCGCGAATCGTACTACTACTCATAGGTGCGAGTGGAAGGGAACTTTATGCCTCCATTTTTCCACGGAAAATTGGTAAAATTTCTGCGTTAAAATTTATTTGAAACATATCATTGTGGTACCTATAAATGGTATACTTCAAAATTGACTAAAGACAAAACATAAAATTTGTTTTTAAAGCGCGAAAATATTACTTTGGTGTGCCAAAATAATAGAGTTTTAAAAATAAAATGATACCCATTTGGTATCTCAACTATCAATCGAAAGTGTCCAGCTATTTCCTCAGCTTACTGTCAAATCTAAAATTAATTGTTAGTTGGTTATGCTAGACAACAAAGCCATTTTTCTGGTTGTCCAAAATCACTTATTATTCTTAGGCTTAAATACACAGTTCCATAGAATTGCAGAACTAGAAAAGCAAAGGATAAACCATGAAACCCTTTCAATCAGTATTTATTTGTGCTCACTGATAAATTAGGGCTACGAATCCTTTTAGACCTAACTTTAATTCTGCGTATGTCATTACTCGGACTACAGTAAATAAACGAAACGAACAAGTTCCTCTTCCCATACACATTCGAGGAAAACAAACCGCACAAAAGACTACTCGAAACTGTGGCATCACGTGC